TTAGATGGAAAATGCCAAGCTAATAAAAAATCTTCCTATAGATCATATTAAGTTGAGTGTTAAATTCATAAGTTATTAACTAATGTAGTCAACTAAACACTTATGGCACATTTCATTGAGTAAATAAACTAAGATTAATGTAATTAATTGGAATATTCAATGAAAAGATGGTACTACTTGAAATGCAATGAATTGTTAAATTATTAATAGTTTGCAGTTGGTTTTTGAAGGGTTCAAAAGAGAAATTGCAATTGGATCTAAAAGAGAAGAAATTAAATTATTGCAGGACATATTTATGGGTACGCGCATATTTGATTGTGGTGATACAAGCCTGACAAAGCATATAAAAATATAATTTTCTACTTAAGGTGACATCTTTTATTACACTCTTCAGACACAAAATTCTAGGTTTTTTCTGTACATATTTACGTACGAATGTCTTTCATTCTTTTTTTCCTTTGCTTTTGTAATGGATATTGATGGGAAATATGTAACACCCCAAATTTTTGTAATATAGTTTGATTATTAATATAAGTGTTTGCGTGAACTTTTCCATGTTGTGTATTTATAATATATATAAACATATATATATATATATATATTTATATATATATGATGTGAATGGATATTGGAGTTGCACTTGAGTGTGTGATGAACTTTAAATGTTGGTGTGTATAAATGCTTGTGGACGTGTTTAAATATATTTGTATATGATTAGATTGGATTGATTGGACTAAAAAATAGGTTAAGGGTGTAATATTGGGGCATTCTCGCTATAGCGATAAAACGACAGTTTGGGGTGCATTTTTGGGTGCAGTCTCGCTGTAGCGAGATTCTGCAGAAACCAGCATGCATTTCCCTCTGAGCGAGAGAGGGTGTCGCTGTAGCGAGAGTGTCGCAACCAAAAGAGGATTTAAAGGGGTTAGGGTTTAGGGAAAGGTTATTTCTCACTTTCCCTTCAAGATTTCTTTAATTCTCTCACTCTCAAATCCTATTTCACCGATTAAATTGCCTCCAAACTGCTTAGAAGCAAGATTGAAGGTTGGATTTGTGTAGGGAACGCTTAGAGGTGAGTTTTAATGGTTAGAGTTTCAGTTTCTCATCCCTATCCTCTGATTTCTCAGTTTTTCTAGGTTCTTCCCTGTATTTAGGACAAAGTTCGTGTGGGGAAACGCCTACCTTGTTAATTTGGTATGTGGGTCTTCATTTAAGGTAAAGGGGGATTCTACCCTATCTCGTTGTGTTTAATTTACCAATTATTTCATTGAATGTTGTGATGTGGCTGAGATAGAAAGTAGGAAATGTGTATGAGCATGTTGAGCAATTGATATTGAATGTGATGAGTGAAATGATTGAGCCTAATATGGGCAAATAGGTGTATTTGTGTGTCCTTGAATGATGTAAATGGTTAGAAATGAGTATAGATGGCATATTGAAATGTTTTGTGTATGGAATGGACATGTGTGTCGTGTGTGGTAGATGAATGTGGGCCAATGGGGCGTATACTGTGAATGAATGAGGGCACTTGTGCAGTGTGTGTGAATGAATGTGAGCCTATGTGTCGTGTAATATTAATGACTATGGATATTGTGTCGTGTACTGTGAATGAGAAATGTGTGTGTGAATGGGGCATGTTGAATGTCGTTGTAATGATACTGTGAATGGTTCAGTGATACACTAGAGGTGTGGGAGATGAAGACGGTAGAAATACCTTGGGAAAGAGAGAATGGTGGTGACACCAACAGTGAGCGTGGGTGCACCACAGGCCACACACTCTCCTCTTGACTAGACCTCTGACCACTACTTTTGTTGAGTGACTCATGACTGCCCCACGCGGTATCCGTGAGGCAAGGGTAACCAAGGACCATTCATGGTGTGAAACTGTGATCATAGTGCCACAGTGAGTATGGCTAGGTGCGGTAAGCACACGTGTGTGAAATGTTGGTGCAGTGAGTGCACCAGTTGTGTTTTGAATTTTAATGAATGATGATTGTGACTGAGATTGAGATGCTTGTCTTGTGAATGTATGATTTAATATGTTAGTAAATGAGTAGTATTTGAGGTGAGTCTTTATGTTTATGTGTGTTGGATAGTGTAGAGTACTCACCTTTATATTTATTTTTTAGGTGACCAAGATGATCAACACCAGACACAATGAAGGAAAGATAAACTGCTATAGGATATAGATTGTATTTTGAAATATGATGTAACTGAATTAGTCGTGTAGCAGTCTTGGATATAAAGTTGTAATCCTTTATTGTTTTGAATTGTTTTGTGAAACTCTATGATGAGATCTTTTTATTTAAATAAAAATTTTATTACTCCCATTTTGTGAAATTATTACTTGAAAATTAAATTAAGGTATTACAAAGTAGGGCTACATCCCTGCATTCCTTTTACTTTTTAATTAAACAGTGATTCCTACATTTACATTTCCTTGTAATTTGCTTTAGTTAAACATGGAGTTCATTTCTGCAATATATTTTAGTTTCTTCTTCTTTATTTTTGTTATGTCTTGCTAATTTTATTAGGGTTGAGAAAGGATGAATTTAATCTTTTATTCATTACAATGAACTAAACAGTGAATATAACTTGAATGCAATCTGTAATCTAATGTATTTAATTCTGAACTTAATGCTTCTCTGCTTCTTAGCACCCAAAGTTGATGAAAGAACTTTATAACTGGAAAGTTATAATCTTTCTTGGATTTGGATTAAATCACTTATTATGAATTGTCTAGGAATAGAAATCTCTAATGATGTGGTCATGTTAATTTCTAAACATAATGCTAATCACCTTCTTGTTTACCTAAGGAATTAGGAAGCTAGAATTGGTTTAGAACCAATCAACCAAGGAATCAGTATTGAATACTGTTTAAAATCTGGCCATTAGATTAGATTGTATTCTGGATTATATATATTTTTATGCAATGGTAAAGGATTAAGAGATTCTGAACTCATCTCACTTCTTAATTAATTTAAAACTTATTTTCATTCCCTTACTTAGTTACATTCTGCAGTTTAGTTTCATTTATAATCAATCCCTAACATCTGAATTTTTACTCTTATTGTTAATTTAATTTTTCAGCACTTACGTTTTACCTTTACCTTTTACACAATATCTAAATTTTCCTTTTAAGTTCATATTCTGTTTTTCAACTCAATTAGCAACATTCTTGTAGTTTGATAATTAACATTAATACCAATAGATGATAAAAATATATTTTCTTACTGCAAACAATTTAATATACATCTTTCAAATAAAATTGACAAATGGGTTCCTTACATGTTTAATATTGGCATTTTACCACTTTTAAGAATTTGATACTACCATCTTCGAGTTTGATCTCATTTTTTAAGTCAATATTAACTAACAAATGCTTTATGAATATTTAAACAAATGATAGGTTAATTAAACAATATGTTCTTCTTATTGTAGATATTTCATTATACCAACAATTTAATGAAGAAACTTATTTTACTTGAAGATTATTGTTCTTAAATAATTATAGATTAAAATATTGTTGTAATTGAACAATTCAATAAACTTATTAGATAATAAAGAGAAATTCATATAAACCGTAATGTCTTGCTTTTAATAAAAAAATTGAGATGAGAATTATGTTGGCTCTAATACGTTATCCTAAATAACTTTCTTGTTTTATTTTATTTATAATAATTAACTAATAATTATTTAAATAGTATAATATAGTGTAATGGGTGTCACAACTAATGTGGTGATACATGCAGCTCAGAAGAATTAAAGTGTGACTTTTCACTTATTTTTATATACGATTCTATGGTTAAGATTTTTTGCTTTGATAATAACAAATGAGAATAAAGGAATGATTACTGTGAGAAAGCCAATATCAATTTAGAATGAACTCTACGGTCATATATAAATGGCAAATAATGGTTTTTTGTTTTTTTTGAAGTGACGTGACGTGACTTTTATATTTAAATCTTCACTGTTTATTGTTAAATCTAATGGTCTATAATTATTCAGCTCACCCGCATAAAAAAAAAAAAAAAAAAAAACCTTTTTGCTAGTGTATCTCTCTCACACAAAAGAGTGGTTTAATTTCTTAATTTTTTTTTAATAAAGAATAACATTATCAACCTTATTTTTTCTTCATTTAAAATTTAAACTCTATAACCTTAATTATTTATATACATACATATCTATAACCTTAATTATAATTATCTCTTCATAATTTTCATTTAAATTTACAAAAATTTAAAAAATCCACGATGTAATGCAAATGATAGCTATGCTAGTTGTAGTTATGCGTGGAAGTTAGTCAGTGACTTTCTTCGAGGCAACCGTTGGATTATTTATGACAAAATTTCAAGTCAACTGTTTTTAAGGAAAAAGACGGAGGTTCACTTAATTCGACTATGTTTTGGATGACAATTTTAAGCAGAATTAGCAAGTTTTTTTTTTTTTTTCAATTTTAGTCTTTGCAAGAGCAAAATAAATGGAAAATTTTATGGGGTCAAGACTCGGGGACCAAATGCACTACTGTTTGACGTGGAAAATTTCTCTTGGCTATGTGCTACATGATAATTTTCAAGCGTGATCCCAAATAGATACTAGGAATAAACAAACAATCTGCTAATGGATCATTCAATGAAAGTTGTGAAGTTCAACACCAACTTGAACACAGTAGAACTTGAGTCACAACGCATCAATTCACTGGAAAAAGAATTATATAACCAATCTCCCTCTATATCTCAGGTAAATACAGTTAATTTGAATTGTAAAGCATAACAGTAACACAACAGAAGGCCAAAAAAGTAGAAAAAAGAAAGAAAATACACAATCTTGCATGCAAAGTGTCTTTTGCTGAACACTAGAAAGAAAAACAAAAGGTGGAAGAAAAGGTACAAAGTAGCAGTTATGATAAATTTACTTCAACAATATCTTCCCGCAAGGAGAGAGAGCCTTGGATATTTACAGGAGCTGCACACACCTCATGACCATTCACAACACTATTTTTACCTCCATTTCTGTTGAGAACATCATTCACACTTGAAAGAAATTATTTTTTGCCCCACCCAAAGCAGCAACACTGGGGAAGCAAGAAATAGTATAAGGATATGCATCAGTATGTGAGGTATGACTAATGTCACTCTTAAGTGTCTATTGCTACTCTATTTAAACAGATCAACTATCACAGTCTAAAGAGTTATAGCAGGCATACCTGGGCTTTGTCATGGGTAGGTTGGCCCCTGATAGCATGTGGTCTCTCATTAGGTGTGCCTGGCACATGTCCTGGCCCGCCCTGTCTCTCCTCCCTCACTTTATTGAAAATGTGAGTATAGCCATCTGCTGATGCAGGGTTGTTCACATCCCACTCACCAAACTTTGGAACAGCTGCACCTTTATCAGGCTGCAACATGATAATGCTAAAATCAGTTTACTTTATGTGCCATGCATGGAAGAAAAACAGGAAAGGAGAAAATAAAACTAACAGTTTCATCTCCACGATTAACTGGTCTTAACCGGGATCTTCCTGGTGTTCCATGGCTGGTGTCATAAGAACTCTTTCCTTCCCATGAGGGACTGTCTCTGCCCGTGGCTCTTGCATGGCGATGAAGAGGGGAACGTTCAATGCTGTATTCAGAGCCAGTGCTTTGTCTTGAAGGTCTCCTACGGTTGTCTGCAGAACCTCCTACTCCCTGACGAGTTGTTGAATCACTGCCACTCCTGCTGCCTAGATTGTCATGACGAGCCGGAGAGTCAATAAAATGCTTAGGTTCACCATCTTCAATGCTTTTATGTAACTCATTTGTTGAATGCAGTGATCCCTTCTCAGATGGATCGTCTGAATTAACTCTGGGTTTGGAAGGAGGTATGTTGTCAGAAGATGGATTATCAAGAGCAAAATCTGAGTTTTCCTCTGGGTCATTTGGGTTTATTATCTTCGTGCCAGTTCGACCTTGCCGGGCCTTGTCAAAATATGCTGTATAAGGAACATTGTCTCCACTTTCCCAATTGCCAAATTTGGGTACATGAGAACGTTGCTGTCAAATTGACACATTTAAAAGGCCTGCCAAGTAAAATTTCAACAGATAGACAACAGAATACAAGTTTCAAATGCTAATGAATGTCATATCCCAACTCCCAGAATCAAAGTCACAAATGATGAAAATAACAAGAAAGAAAGCAAAACATCATTGCTCCTTCTATTTTCATTGAAAAAAGGATTATATTTTAGTGCTTTCAGGGAAATGTATGTTCTTTAATGGATTACTAATTGTGGCCATGATGGCCACATGGCCCGGATTTGATCATCCATGATGTAAGCCCCACCAGATATTTACTACACTTTCTAGAAGCTGGTATAGATCACACCAGATCTTCCAGTGTATAAAGGGATAAAATTTTAAAGATCCTTCTCAATCCTTAAAGTAAAAGGATCCTAGTCTAAATAATTACTCTCCAAGTAAGCTATTTCCACTATAAATATAAGGCAAAAAAAATGGGATCTTCAACCTCACACACTAGCTCCCTGGCACTGCCTCTAAGGCTTTGTTTGGGAGTTGGTTTTTTGGGGGAAGGAAAGGGAAAGAGAAGTCTTATGTGATGTTTAGCCATATTTGTGAGTTTTTATACAAAAGGAAGATGGTTTATAAACCCTTCAAAACCCTCCTAATCCCATTTTTTAAAAGTTTCCTAATGTTGGAGTTCAGTATTAACCCCCTTACTCCTCTCTTCCCTTCTCGTCCTTTACCTTTCAAATTCTTTCTTTCTTTCCCTCTCCAAACTCTCAATCAAAGCCTAAGTTGAGTTTATGAGTGCCTTTTGCTGCACTTTCCCCTGCATTCTGCTGCAGTGGCTGTACCTGGAACACAAACATCCTCTACTAATTCTGCTTAAGGTCGGGTTTCCCTCTACATTAGATTCCGGGACAGAATAATATATCAAATTGAAACCATAGTTGAATATTCAACATTATACAAGCTTAGATCTAAACAGAACATGTGGCTGTGAATCCTACTTTCAGAAGAATTTACGTAGGAATCTTCCCAATGAGACCGACTTAAGACAATCTAGTAATCCTGATCAATAAGATGCATTAGTGCATGAATACACTTAATGTAGCTCCTTAGATAAAACCAATGCATAGGGCCACATGGTGTTGTGTCACCGTTGAAGGAATACATATGTAATGGTGGATTTCATGAATGGTCATTCTGGTTCAAACATGATTTCAGATGAGTTTCTGCTGAGGAACAATAGAAAGACCAATTTGAAATTTTATAGCAAAAGTTTCCAATGTTTTATAGTTTAGTAATCTTATCTGATAAATATGGTACATAGTACACAGTTACTGTGAAAATAACAGTGCATATTATATAAAATAATTGATTGTTGACTGCAAACTTATATACCTACTCAATACAATTTTCTAAATTTTTCTTTTCAATACAAAATGGTCAGAAAAACCTAAATCAGATTTTTCCATAAAAAGTATTTCTAAACATAAATGTTTGTGAGGACAAACATATTGGGAAAAAAATGTGCTAATTAACCATCAAATAAATAAAGTAATCAGCAATCCGTAAAACCATTGCCCTTGCGCATGTGCAAATTTGTTTCCTAGTTTCTTCTTTATATATCATCCAACATTTCGCATCACTGCATTTTTTGAATCTGTTATGGACTCGTACATTGTAGTACAGATTTGTTCTTGTAGCCCGTTCTACAAAAGCATGGACAAGATGAACGCTCTTCCTTTTATCATCAAAGACAAAATCTCCTTGCTCCTAAGAAATGACAACTTATTCATAGTATGTTCTTAACATCCTTGTGACTGGTATGCATTTTTACAACTTTCTAGATAACCTTAAAATGCATACCCTATGGCATAATCAGTGAACTGACACTTTTACTATTGTTTTCACTTAAGTTCCCAACATTCAGTACCATTGAAGAATACAGGTCTTATGTCCAGTACAATTAATCACGTGTCATAAAACCGTTACCATTGTAAACATTCAGACATCAAACCCGTATGCATAACCAATCCTTTTCCAGAAGAACAAACAGCACAAATATCATGTGGAAGTCATTTCTTTAGCTTAAACATTACAGTAAAAGAACAAACTTATAATTACAATTCAACTAGCTGCTTTAGTTGTCATATTTTGATTCAACCATAAACCAAATAAAGAGGCCACTAAACATCCAACTAGAGATTTTATCACTAGTACTGATACTTGATCCATACTTTTGGAAAAATAAATCAGAAATCCATGAAACCAAAACAAGCCTCTATTCGATATTCACAAGCATAAAGCTAAATTGTTAACACATTTATTATGCCAAAAAAGAGAAATGAAAACTTTACACAATAAGAATCTAATTGAATTCCTTCGTATTTCCAAGAAGAAGAAATATGAAGCTTTTAATGGTTGATTAGTCTATGGAGAGAAAAAGAGTTGACCAAAAGAAAAGTAAGAGCCTAATTTTGGTCAACTATAGCGAAACTTCAGAAGATGAACAAAAGAGATAACCAGGCAAAATGAACCTCCACCTAACACAGCATAACACAAAAACATAATGCAAATGGTTGAAACTCAGATTCCGTTAGCCTTTTCCATAATTTTCACAGCAATCACAGACATATGAAAAACAACCAAAACATGACAAAAAGACAAATTTAGAAAAGAGAAAAAAAAATAAAACTTACTGCCATTTCCTTCAAAATCAAACTTGGAAAATAACCCAGAAATTGAAAGGCAAAATTCTCCAAAAAAAAATAAAATAATTAAGCTTTTCTGGATCAGACCCAGTAAAGGCAAAAACTCAGAGAACCCAAGAAGCTCCTCCACAGAATTCAAAGACTCAGCAAGAGAGAGAATGAGAGAACTTTATAGAGAGGTTTATCAACCGTTGACCGGCGCCACCGGTAATGTTTGACTATTATTTTCACGTGTCTGTAATTTTTTCTTTTTTTTCCTTCTTTGTCCCAAATCTCTCTCACGACAAAGTCATACATACCAATAAGTTTTTTTAATAAAAATCTGTGGCATGTAACCATCTTGTTTTCACTGCTTTCAAATCTCAAAATTTCACAGAATTTTCTCAAACGCTTTTTATTTGAGTAAAAATCAAAATTCCTCCTTAAAACTTTATAATAAGATACAATAATTCATGATAATACAAAAATGGTATGTTTATTTTAAAACATGCTAATAATATACTAATTCATGAAGATACAAAAATGGTATGCTTATTTTTTTAAAATGATAATATTAATTATTTCTAAAAGACTCACATGAATTTGTGAATTTTTAAGATTAGGATATGAATTTTATGTTTATTGTTAAAGGCTTATATATAAGTTGTTATATTTTCCATATTCACTCGTCACACTTTAAACCATCAAATATATTATTTTTGTTATAAAACACATTATAATACCTACTTTTAATATATTTTTACTAATATTAAATGAGATAGGGTAAGAGAATCTTTAATGTTTTGTTTGAATAAGAGAAATAAAAAAAATTAGTAAATTTTTAAGTCTTTTGTTTGAGAGAAAAAAAAAAGAAAAGGAGAAGAAAAACATTTATTTTCTATTTTTTAATAGAATATAAAAATGAAAAAATATTACAATATTTTAATATAATGAAATTTATCTTCTTATAGAATGTTATCTATAATTTCTGTTTTATTGGAAAAAGAATATAGTATGAAAGTAAAGTATATATTTAACAAAAAAAATTGATCAACTTGTAGTAAAACTTTTATCTCCTAGAGTAAGATTTTATTTCTCTTTTACTTCTCTCCCGCACAGTTTTAAAACACCAAAAATAGCACAAAGAAAATGCTTAAAGTTTAGCTAATATGTTTTAAGATATTACAATATTTAAACAAAGACGAATCTCCAAATGTTATTTATGACTTATCAAAAGAGAAACTGTTTTTCATATGAACTTGTGCAAAAGCTTATATCAGGAAAGAAAAATAATAAGAGAAGAAACAAAAATTGAAGATAAGGTAGTATTGTAAAATATGTTAAATAAATAACATGTCTCTGATGAGAAGTTAAGCAAGCACATGAAAATCTAAGCCATATTTGAGTTCTTACTATAATTTTCTATTACCATTATGTTTATTTTGAACTATTCTTAAGCAAAACCGTTTGAAAAATAAACTAATTGAAACATATCTAATAACTTCATTATTATTATTAAAGCAATTTTTATTAAATTGACGCTAAAAGTTGTTCAGCTCTCAAGAGCCTATGAGCTGTGTATGGCTTGGGTTTTGCAAGGTTGAGTGTGACCGTTTTTGGTGGTTGGGCATTGATAGCAAGTAGGTGAATTCACGTCGTCATCTTAAGGATGTCATAATATTTAAATAATTTAAGAGGGAAATATAAAAATATATCTTCTGTCCTGTCATATTAAAATTGCAGTTGCATATAATATGATTTTCGTTTTGTTTTTGTTTTGATAAATAATTATTTAAAATCACATTTTAACCAATTCATGGAATATTCCACAACAGCTTTGCGACGTACCATTTTTTTGTTTCGGACAGGGAAATAGAAGGAACGGAGTAACCCAGTCTTGCCTTTGACGTGGTGTACAATGAAAAAAGTGTGTCAAGGTCAAATGTTGGATCATGGATGCTTAATTAAAAAAATAAAATAAATTAAAATATTTAACAGAATTAATTATTAAAATAATTAATAAATATATTTACCTATTCAATCATAAGTTAAATAAATATTTTTATTTTTAATTCTTTTTAAATATATTTATTAAAATGAAGTCATATATAAATATATTATATTATAAAGAAATTGTATTGGTGAAATTTGGAAGCTGATAGTAAAAAATAGCATTATGTCAGTAAAATAGTGGAGATAAAAATGAAAAGAAAAAGGAGTTAAAAGCTTATAAGTCGGTAAAAGTAAACTTATTTTCTCAAGTTATCAAGCATGATTATTTTAATTAATTTTTTAAAATAGTTAAATAAAGTAGAATAATGTATTGGCTTTTTGAAGCCTACTCTTTGATTCTCTAGGATGGAATTGCCTCTTTTAATAATAATTTTTTATATAATATTTATACTAAATATCTTAAAGAAAATTAAATATTTACAATGAACTATAAATATTACATAGGAATAATGGGCATTTTTTAACACATTAATTTCTTTTAAAAAATTCACAATCGTGCATTAAGAAAACAAAACAAAATATGTGTAATTCTTCAAGTATATTTTTGTTATTTTTAATAAATTATAAATTTTTATCTCGATAAAAAGGTTTGCATTAAATATTATTGCAAGCTAATACATTGAATTTTACTTCTAAATTAAAAAAGTAATAGAAATTCAACTAGCCTAATTTAATCTTTTATAAGAAATTAAAGGGTTAAAGAGAAAGAAAAAAAAAAGCATTGCAAAGCTTAATTATATATATAAAAAGGACCAGCTTTATTTATTTTTTTTCTTATCAACTAGAAAAGATCAATTCGAGTCAAGGTTGAAATAAGTAGGCTACATTTCTATAACGAGGGATTGTTTTTTGCACTTTTTTTAACTATGGTAATTATTTTGTAACTTTTTTCTTAAAATATCCCTAAGAAAATTAAATTATTAAACAAAAGTAAAAATTATTTTCTAAAATTAAATAACTTCTAAATTTCTTTATTTTTAAAAATTTTCAAATACTTTTTTTATAAATTTTCACTTTTACTATATTTATTGTTACAAAACATTATTATTCTTTCATCGTTATTTTTTTAAAATATACTTTAAGTATTGTTACTTTTCAGATACGTCGTTGCTATGAAATATGATATTTAATTAATTTTATTATTAAAATTAGTTTCACTTCAAAAAATGATATATATATTGTATTTATGGATAAAATTATTCTAAATAAGTAAATTATTATTTTTTAACCTTTTTTAGTAATTTTTTTTTTGGGTCAAAAAGCCAAATGCAGCACGCTTTCGTATTTAGTTCGTTATGCTTGAATATGTAATTTTACTCGCTGTTCTATGGGAAGCTTGGAAGTATAACCTTATTTTGACTTTATACATACAAGTAGACACATGCATTAATCAAAATAGTTATTAGTTAATATTTTTATTACAAAAATATTATATAAAATTAACTATGAATCTATAGTTTTTTATTATTTATATAATTTTTGTGAAGTTTTATTGTAGAAGTATGCCACTAATTTTATAAAGTTCGTATAAATAATTTTATAAATAATGTTAACTGACTAAATATGGTATAAATAATTTAAGTTCTATAAAATAGTGACTAAATATGATATAAATAATTGATATTTATAAAATTATTGATACAAATTGATTGTTGAAGTATGCCACTAACTTAGTATCAGAGTATTTCAAGCACTAATGTTGTAACAATTTAAGTCTTTGATAATCTAATTTAGTAACCAAAAATTTTGAAAGACTGTTCCCCTCTTTATTGTTATAGAATATTTTTTAAAGAATTTTTCGCTTCTTTTTTATGTAACTCCCTTTGCTTTAACCATTTGATTTGATTTTTTTTATTTATAACTTTTATTTTTTTAAATAATAGTTCTTATTTTTAATTTTAAATATATTAAATTGAAATTATTTATTTTTTATTCAAAGAGGCTAAAAAGTTCAAACAAACAAAAACAAACCAAGGTTCCAATCTAGGAAACCAAATACTTAAAAAATCCATACAAAGAAAGGAAAAAAATAAAGGGAGGAGTGGCAATATAAGAAGAAGATAAGCAACCCTCAAGCCTTAATTCAACTAAATGATGAGCACATTAGTTGACTTCCCCAAGACATGTCAAATCTAAATCATACGATTATTATAAAATCATTCAATTATAAAATAAATTTTTAAATTCATCATATCAATAATAAAATTTATTTTGATTAAAATAATTTATTAAATTTAAAATTTTTATTCTTTTAATTTTATTTTCAATATAATTAAATATTCATAATTAATGCAAGTCCAAAGGATAGGATAATATCGTAATATTTTAATTGAATAATTTTAAAAGATAAATTGAAAATTTTCTCGGATAGTTATCTTTTCTGTACATTGCTAGCATGGTGTTTTTTATATGTTTATTATTTAACCTTGCATTGTTTATTTTTTAAATATTAGATTATATAAAATATGGTTGATATAATTTACTACTCAATATGTTAAATAATATTAAAAACACACGTTATATTATTACAAATTTAACTTTAATTAAACTAATAAATTATAAATTAGTATATTTTACTAATTTAATAACTACTCTAATAATAAAAACGTTGCAATTAAGGGATTTGTTTCAATAATGAAAAAAGATAATAGCAAAAATATTAACCAATTAACTTAGTGATACCTTAAATTAAAGATAAATCATATTTCAAACGTAAAGTGACAAAACTAATAAACTAAAATAAAATAATAAACCCATATACCCTTATAATTGAAACTCACGAAATCTTAAAATTAACAATACAAATTTAAAAAATTATTGGTTGATTTCTTGATGGACATAAGAATCGTCTAAAACAAGAAATCATGGAAGCTTTTATGGATATAATTAATAAAATAAGTAAATTAAAAAATAATTATGACGGCGTTAGAGTTAGTGGCAGCTGAATTTAAAATAATGCGTTGGAACTTAGGAGAGATGATAATATGATATTAGGATTGTGGCTTTGCTGTGCTGTGTGAGATTGTCTTCTTGTCGGTGAGTAGGTCACTATTCCTTTTCTTTTCTGTAAACATTTGGCATTGACTTTCTATTTACTTGGTCTTTTCTATTTTCTTTTATTAAATGCCAAGCATTACATCGTAGAAATT